TCCGCCTCCTCCTCCTCCTCCTCCTCCTCCTCCTCCTCCTCCGCCTCCTCCTCCTCCTCCACCTCTCCTCCTCCTCCTCCTCCTCCCTCGTCCTCCTCCAAGTTATCATCGCCCTCCTCCTCCTCCTCCTCCTCCTCCTCCTCTCCTCTCCTCCTCCTCCTCCTCCTCCTCCTCCTCCTCCTCCTCCTCCGCCGAGCGCCTTCCGACCCGAACTCCGACTCCCGACTCCGACTCCCACTGACTCATCCGACTCCGACCTCCGCTCTCATCTCGTCTCCTCCCCTCCTCCTCCTCCTCCTCCTCCTCCTCCTCCCTCCTCCTCCTCCTCCTCCTCCTCCTGCCTCCCCCTCCGCCTCCTCCTCCCTTCCTCCTCTCCTCCTCCTCCTCCTCCTCCTAAAAGAAAACTTTTCCTCCTCCTCCTCCTCCTCGTCCTCCTCCTCATCCTCGTCCTATTCCTCATTTTACTGCTCCTGCTCCTGCTCCTGCTCCTGCTCCTGCTCCTCCTGCCTCATCGACAAATGAGTCATCATTCTCCCTCCTCCCTCATCCATCCTCCTCCTGCCTCGAGAGATAACGGCTGTCCTGCTCTTTGCTCCTACATTTCCCTGATCGTCTCAACTCACCTGGGCGTCGGTTATGGATGGCCTGTTCGGGATACGTTTTGGTCTGCGGGCTCGCGAAGCAGGTCGAAAGCCGTCCGAACACTAGTCGGGCCGCGAGTAGGCAGCAAGAAACGAGAGGCAAGCGAAGCGAGCGCGCGGGCAGCCACTCAAAAGAAGAGCTAGAAACGAAACTCCCAACCAAGTGGCGTGTAGATCCCGGTGGCGACCAGCAAGTAAGCGCAGCCAAAATGGCGCGGCGGCGCGACCATAAACACGCAGCGGTCACTCACTCGGTGTGCGGCGGCACAAGGAACCGTCAGAGACGAGCAGGACCGACAGGCACACCCGGACGACGTCCGCGCCGTAGGCGACACAACTGCATCGTGTCAGCGCACGAGTGAACAGGGGCAACCTCGTCACAGATAGGACTGCAAACGGCAGTAGCTCTTGTTTGTACAGCAGTGGCACATGTCGAAAGCGAAGTCCTTGCAGGAGAAAGCAGTCGACAAACACCGCTGGTCGGGATACGCGAAGCTTCAAGAATATGTGTATGCACTAAGCCAAGAGAAACTAACAAGTTGGCGAGATTTCATCACCTTCTGAGACTCTGCTCGGCAGCCTTCCCAATGAGTTTTCGGGAGGATAGCGGCTCCGCAAACGCGTTCCGTGGGGCGGGCCATAGGTCACAGAGGCGACAGACGTGTCAGAGTCCCCGTCCTCCCTCTCGTCCTTCTCCTCCTCCTCCTCCTCCTCCTCCTCCTCCTCCTCCCCTCCTCATCCTCCTCCTCATCCGTCTCATCCTTCTCCTCCTCCCCCTCACCCTCCTCCTCCTCATCCTCCCTACTCTCTCCTAGACTGCTCTCGCACCCCACGAACTGGCTGACCCCCCGCCATCCCTGCGCCGATGCCCTGTCAGAGCTACAAGGGGCAAGCAAAAAACGTGTACGGAAACCGCTGTGGCAATTCCGTGAACCCATCCCGGAAAACCTTCCTGAGAAAGGGTAAGTGTTCCTCCTGACGGCTTTTCCGGGCACTGGATAGGGGGGAAGTTGAGGAATATGTTTTGGCATGATCTCGACATAAACCATCCGAAACGCGAGCCCGAATCCAAAACCTTCCAAGCAAACGCTCCCTTCCTGATGATGTTTTTGCTTCTCAGCAAGAGGGTTCCCTCCTGAGAGCTTTGTTTCCCCTTACAGAAACGAGTCCTTCCTGGGGGAGTTCCTTCCCTCCGCCGGAAAACGGCTCCTTCCTGAGGAAGGCGCTTCTCTCCTGAAGACGATGGTTCTCTCCTCGGTATCCTCTCAATCCTCCCCCTCCGCATTCTCCTCTTAGTCCTCCTCCTGATCCTCCTCCCCATCATCAAATCAGGGAAGAGCAGGAGCAGAGACGACGACGAGGCTCTCCTCGCTGGACCATGGACATCCATACCTCGGCTCCTCCGGCCGACCCACCCCTCCTTGGTGTGGATGGGTGCCGCCTCCTCCAGGTATTGCGGCACCCATCCCAGCCCACCAAAAAAAAACTCGACGCGGGGCTCCCCACATGCGCATATCATTATATTGGTTCGTCTTTCTATTGATATATGTCACTGAGCGCCTGTGTGCGAGGGCGAACCGCTCGCTCGAGACATTCCCACAGTCTGCAAGCATGAGTGCGACCAATAGCAAATCTGAGAGCGACTGATTCTGAGTGTGAGTTAATCTGGGTGCGATTGAGCCTGGGTTTGAGTGGGTATGCGTGTGAGTAAAAATGAGCGGGAGTGCGTCTGTGTGCGAGTGGGTCTGAATATGGACCATTCTGAGTGTGAGCCAGTCTGTGATTGAGCGGATCGTAGCATGATGAGTCTGAGCATGTTTGAGTCTGGGCTTGAGTGGGTCTGAGTGTGAGAAAAAGTGTGTGCTAATGAATCTGAGTGCGAGTGAGCCGAATGTGATTGGGTATGGATGTGAGGCAGTCTGAGTGTGAGTCGGTCTGCGTTTGAGCGGACCGTAGGATGCTGAGTCTGAGCAGGAGCGAGTCTGAGTATGAGTGGTTCTGAGCGTGAGTCTGAGTGTGAGTAAGCTTAAGTATGGATACAGTAGATGGACAATATATTCGAACCCTCACACATTCGAGGGAGATTCTAAATCACCCCCGCGCCCCCGACATCAATGTTGATCTCAGCAAAGGCAGTGCTTTGGGGTTCGAATATTTCTGTCCACTCACGCCCCCCCCGTCGCCACGCCATCAATATCAAATTCGGGGGTTCGGGGGGGCATCTTGGGCCACAGGGTTCGAATATAATATCCATGTACGGTATGAGCGAGTCTAAGTGCGAGTGAGCCTGCGTGTGACTGAGTCTGAGTATGAGTGAGTATGAATGCAGAAGAGTGAAGGAGAGCGGAGAGCGAAGGAGAGTGTGGCGGAAGCGTTTGAGTAAAACCTAAAGCCTTGGAACATCGAAACTCGATCGTCTGGCCCTGGCTACTCGAGTTGTCCACGTCCTCCTCCTCCTCCTCCTCCTCCTCCTCCTCCTCATCATCATCATCATCATCATCATCATCATCATCATCATCATCATCATCAGCATCATCATCATCATCAGCATCATCATCATCCCCTTCCTGCTTCTGCTCCTACCGTGTTCATGCTGTCCTCCTTCTCCTCCTCCTCCTCCTCATCGTCTTCTTCCTCCTCCTCCTCGCTTCCTCCTTCTCTCTCCTCCTTCTCCTCCTCTTCCTCCTCGTCCTCTTCCTCCTCCTCCTCGCTTCCTCCTTCTCTTCCTCCTCCTCCTCCTCCTCATCCTCCTCCTCCTCCTCCTCCTCCTCCTCGTTGGGAGTGCTGAAACCAGCAAATCGCCTGAGACATCCTCCCAAAACTGTTCCGAAAACGACAGATGCCCAGCATCATAACGGCCAAACCGCCTGAGACATCCCCGCAAACTGGGCGCGAACGTCCTCCAAATCTGCTCCGAAAGCGAAACATGTTGGAAGAGAAAATTGCAACACCGCCTGAGACATCCCTATAACATCCCGCGGAAGGGGCCGAGTGAAATACCCCCCCCGCCGCTCCCCTTAGAGTGCTGAAACCAGCGAATCGCCTGAGACATCCTCCAAATCTGTTCCGACAGCGAAACATGTTGGAGGATAACATGGCCAAACCGCATGAGACATCCCCACGCAACTCCGCGAACGGGACCCCGTGAAATACCCCCCCGCCGCCCCCCTTAGAGTCCTGAGACGAGCGAATCGCCTGAGACATCCTCCAAATCTGTTCCGAAAGCGACACATGTTGGAAGAGAAAATGGCCAAACCGCCTGAAAAATCTAAAAAAAATAAAAAGAACAAAAAAAAAAAAAAAAAATAAAAAAAAACAAAATCAAAAAAAAAAAAAAAAAAAGAAAAAAAAAGAAAAAAAAAAAAAAAAGAAAAAAAAAAAAAGAGAAAAGAAAAAAAAAAAAAAGAACTTCCGCCAACAAAATTCCGCGAACGGGACCTCGTGAAGTACCCCCCCGCCGCCCCTCTCAGAATGCTGAGACGAGCAAATCGCCTGAGACCTCCAAATCTGCTCCGAAAACAACACATGTTGGAAGAGAAAATGGCCAAACCGCCTGAGACATCCCCACAAAATTCCGCGAACCGGACCCCGTGAAATACCCCCCCGCCGCTCCCCTTAGGAGTGCTGAGACAACCGGATCGCCTGACACATCCTCAACATCAGTGTGTGTGAGTCATCCGATGAGTGGACCTGAGTGAGTGTAGTGAATGTATGGGTACAAATACGAGTGAGTCTGAGTGATGAGTGAGTCTAAGTGATGAGTGAGTCTGAGTGATGAGCGAGTCTGAGTGATGAGTGATGAGTCTGAGTCATGACTGAGTCCGAGTGAAGAGTGAGTCTGAGTGATGAGTGAGTCTGAGTGATGAGTGGGTCTGAGTGATGAGTCAGTCTGAGTGATGAGTGAGTCTGAGGGATAAGTGAGTCTGCGTGATGAGTGAGTCTGAGTGGGTCTGAGTGCGAGGAGGTGAGGGTGTTCCTGTTCTCCTGTGTTCCTCCGGCGCGGTCTGCCAATAACAAGAACCCCATTCTTAGGATATGGGGAAAAACACGCTGGAAGAGCCAATTACCCTGTGGGGTGGGGGGACGGTTCTGACGATAGTGGTCTCCTTTTCTCGGCGGCGAGCCCTGAGGAGAAGTGAGAAGGGGCGGGCCGTCCCAGAAGGCTTGGAAGTCCCCCCGCCTTCTGAGGAGTTTTCTAAGCCTTCCCCGAAGACACAGAAAATGTCTCAGAAGACCCGAGGCCTTCTGAGAAGCCCCGCCGCCTTCTGAGAAGGCCTTATCCCTCTCACTTCCCCCCTCGCTCGCCGCCGACTGACGATAATGGTTTTCCTTCTCTTCCTTCCATCCAGCCCCCCGTGACCGCATCAGCGCGATCTCGTGGGCTATCTCGCGCGGGCACAGCTCCGACGTGTCGATCCTCTTCATGGCGCGCGGTTGCCCGGAGGCCTGTCCAGAGGGGGGCGGCGGGGAGCTGCTGAGGAACGGAGGACGAGGCTCCTGAGGAGGTTTTCGGCGGTGAGCGAGGGGGGAAGTGAGAAGGAGAAGGCCCTCTCAGAAGGCGGCGGGGCTTCTCAGAAGCCCTCCAGCCTTCTGGGACGTTTTTTGTGTCTTCGGGGAATGGTCAGGGAACCTCTCAGAAGGCCGGTGGACTTCCGAGCCTTCAGAGAAGGCCCGCCCCTTCTGACTTCCCCCCCTCGCTCGCCGCCAAGGACTAGTGGGGCGAAGGTCAACCGAAAAAACTTATGAGCGACATGCACGCCCCATGCATGTCGCTCGTTAGGTGTGCGCCTCTGCATGCAGCATGCGCATGCGATGCGGTGCGATGAGGTCGTTGAGACGCAGTCATTGAAGTCCTCGGGACTCGCGATGCGGTCATCGCGTCCGCATGCAGCACGCAGCACGCGATGACCGCGTCTCAGAGGCATTCCACCATCGAGCGGCGCCACGTACACACAAGGGCGGCAGCAGCAAAACCGTCGGTGCCAACGCTTTTGTCACAACTCCAGTCGGCCGTTTGAAGTATTTCAATGTCCTGCCGTGGCTGACACCGATCCTACTTGTGATTCGAGTTCAGCCGCCTCAGCAATAGATGGGCAATTTGTCATAAGAGCCTGCCGCGAGCTGACAGACGCTGGTGCCAACTTCGTGCCATGGGCACCTACCGCAAAAAACAGCGAAAACAGCTCCAGCCCCTCCAACTCGTCCAAAACCCTTCGGTTTTCTGCTTGCAGCGGGCAAGAAGCAATGGTCCGCCGGCCCCTTTGGGGGCCACCAGGCTGCGAAGCTGAAATTTCTGCATCCTGCAACCACTCCTCGGCTCCTTGGTTCCAGCTTGGTTCCAGTACCAGTTCTAAGAGGGGATGCCGGCTGAACAAAAAAAACGTCGACCCCTGTCCCAGGCTTCGTGAAGCTTGCGAGAGGATCAACACTTCGGGGCCCAACCCTGGGATCTACGAGGGGGGGGGCGCCCATCCTCGACAGGGGTGCGTCCGTATAGCCCCCTATCGGGATGTGTCCCAAGATTCCCCCCCTTTCGGAGCGGCCAAACTTTTCCGGCGGAGCTCGGCGGGGACTGGGGGAGAGATCTATACATATCCACTGCTCCCTGGCCAGGCCCAGCCTGAACCCAGCAGCGGTGCATACGCCACGCCCTCCTGGCTTGGCCAGGAGGGCGTATACACAGCTCGTGAGCTCAGGATGGGCCTGGCCGGGGAGCAGTGGATATGTATAGACCTCGCCGCCCGATCGGGGACTGGGGGAGAGAGATCGCCTGCGAAGTCCCAGTGCAGCTCCTCTGTTCCAAGGTCTCAGATGGACACAGATCATTACTCCTCGCTCGATGACTGAAGGGCTGCAGAACGCGCGACCCCCTCGCCGGCCGAAAAGCGGCCAGCCACCCTCAGAATCACATCCTCGGACTTCCCAGGGTGGCCTGCGGCACGTGAAAAGCAATAGATGCGCGCTCCCCTGGTGGCAATCTCAATATCTTCCGAATTACATCGTGTTCGCACTCCCGAAAACGCCATCCCTTGCACATTACGTCACATTCGCTCTCGCGAGGCCACAATCCACTGTGAGATACAACGCGCTCACGCTCCCGAAGCCACGATCGCTTGAAATTACAACCCTTTCGCACTCCCGAAGCAACATTCCCTTGCAAATAACGTAGCGCTCGCAATCTTGAGACCTAAATCGCCTTGTAAATTACATCACGTTCGCGCTCACGATGCCACAATCCCACCTAAGTTACGTCGCACTCGCACTCCCGAGGCAACGATCCTCCGTGAATGACGACACAGTCCGCTCCCGAGGCCATGATCCCGAGGCCACTACCCCCGGTACTTTACGACGCGTTCTCGCTCTCGACGCCACAATCCTCTGCAAATTAAGTCCCACTCGCGCTCCCGAGGCCATAATCCCATGTAAACTACGTCGAGCTCGTGCTCCCGAGACAGCAAACCCTTGAAAATTATAACGCGTTCGCGCCCCAAGACCATAATCCCTCATAAATGACACGCTCGCGCCCCCGAGGCCGCAATCCCGCGTAAATCACGACACGTGCGCTCCCGAAAGTTGTGCGCTCCCAAGGCTAACATCCCTGATTAAACACTACAGACGCGCGCAACCAGCCAGCCAACAAACATTCCCATGCCGTCATGGTGTTCCTATGCCGTTGAGCCGCCTGCACGCCTGTCCGCTCGTTCGACGCGCGCTGCGCTCGATCCGAGCTCGGTCCTTGACAATTCCATAATCGGCAGCACGATCATCACCATCAGCGGCATCATCATAATCGTCATCATCATCATCATCATCATCATCATCATCATCATCATCATCATCATCATCCTCATCATCCTCA